TTCACTCACGTTACAAGTACAAATCTATGCAAACTCCATATTCACAAACTTTTCCATCTCCCCTCTAAATCCAACAACCGCATCCTTATGAATATATAACAACACCTTAAACCCATCTTTCTTCCCCTGAGTAGCTGCCGAATACGGCAAGAAAAAACACGGTTCACTACTCCCAAGAAGGTTTCTGGACAAGGGTATAACTGTCACCGGACCACCCCACCCAAAGTCAACCGTTGAATGACCCAAGTGCCGCCAGTCAGTCACCGCACTTACCCATTTTCCGGCGTTAATCCCTTTTTCGTAATTTAGTTCCTGGAAATCGATAAACGAGTGAACATATTCATCGCTCACGTTTCTCTTGCTCTTTTTGATGAGTTGGGCTGTTTCCCAAATGGGTTTATCAATTAGATCTCCCGCTGTGGTTTGTGCATACATAGGAACGCAACCGTTGCCCCAGTAGCCGGCGGGTAGTGGTGGCTGAATTACCCTCCTTATGTTCACTGCATAACCAAATTTTACCTCTTCCTTTGTTGGAGTCTTCGAGGCTTTCACCCTGTTTTCATAAATGTTAAATAATTAATTTTAAAAGCTACGGATGTAAATGGGAACCAATGGTTTATGTTGGTTTATTTAAGTTTAACAGGATATATACAAATGGATAAAAGAAAGAATTTTATTTTTTGTGTTTGTTTATGAAATTACCTTGTTCATGTTGATTCGGTTGTATCGGTTAAAATACTAAACGAGCAAACATTAACAAATAAAAATCAATATGATCAAACACAATAAGAATGGAGATAAACAAACATAAACAAATGCATAAACGACTGGACTTGCGCGCACTGCAGGCAGGGAAGTATTGGTTTTAATCTGCATGTTTAAGATTGCATTTGTATAGGTTTTAATCTGATTGTACTAGTGGCAACCCATTATGGAAATCCGTAATTCATTACGAAAAATTCCAACCCTTTATCAAACTATATGCGATTTTCTAAGGCTATTTTCGGATTTTTTAGCTAAATCTTTGAAAGTCGGACTATATTTGTTTTTTCTCCTATAACTATTCTTTAGTACTATTAACCCTAAGTTCGAATATAAAAATGTCCAAGCTTATCAAGTACAATGATTACGTGCAATAAATCAATAAGTCACTAAATTGTTAATATTGTTTGTGTCAAGTTATTTTTCTCCTAAAGTTAATGAGTATCTATACACTAAAATGACTAAATAGCACAAAATAAACATTTTTTTAGAAACCATGACAAAATAATCATTGAAATTTCTTTATGAATGGTCCTTTTTATTTGTTATTTTTTTTGCATATTAATTAATACTTCTGCATAATAATTTTAAAAAACCTAATAATTCCTGCCAAAAAAAAAAAAAAAAAGAATTGCAAAGTATTTAATCATGTTTTTGCAAAATATTAATTTTGCAAAAGAGCTATGGAAAACTTGCTAGTTTGCATTTATTTATTTATTTATTTTGCAAAATAAAGTAATTTCACATAAAGAATTTTGTGAAAATGATTACTGAATTTTTTATCAGTCAATGAATATTTTCCGATAATGGTATTGTACGAGTACTTAGACTTTTCTACTAACAGTCATACACGATAACGCATTATTTTCTAATAATAGTGATGCAATTGGGTGATTGTAATTTAAGAAACTTCTAAAAACTAAAACTTAATATTACTGATTGATGATACATCTTAATAGCATGTCTTGTATTTCTTTTGTCAGATGAATGGTGGTAATAAATTAAAGATTATTTAAGGAAATATAAAAATATTTATTTTGTACCTTTATAACCATGCACTATGAATCAGTGTTAACTAACGGGTCCACTCATTCAAACAAACAGTGGATGAAATGGTACAAGATTTTCATTGTGATGACGAGCGATGGTACATGCGAACATTATAATTCTATGTACATGATCTTTTGGTTTAAAATAAAACTTTTTTATCATATCATTTAGTTTTTTGGTTTTAAATTTTTATATCTTTTTTTAATAGTTTAACACATTAACATAATTCATCATAAATAATGCTATATTGGTATCTAATTTACGGTTTAAAAAAATTATTGTGTTATATTTAGGTTTCAAAAGGCATATGTTTGAAAATTAATAAAAAGAAAATGCCTTTGAAAATGACGTCTAACGACAAATCAATGTACCTTGCTTGCCATAGAACAGCACCCAAAGCTTCAAAAGTGGTGAAGCTCGAACCGGACTTTTCTTGTAAAAAAATCTTAAACCGGTCCAACCACTCATCTTTCACATTACAAATCTCTCTAACCACATCTTCATTCGACCCCAAATACGGCACGAAATCCTTATCCAAAGACAAAAACTCTTCAATAGGAAACTCCGTCCTAGCCGGTTCTCTCGGCCCAAGCAACTTCGACCGGTCCCAAACCGGTTCAACTTTCAATTCACTCTCACCTCGAGCAATCTCAGCCATCGCATTGAAAAACAACGTGGCACCAATCCCATCACAAAGAACATGGTGAACCGCTGCACCAAGAGTAAACCCGCCGCAACTAAACCGGGTCACCTGTAACATCAACACATGGGTCAACCGGGCTTCTTGATCCGGGTTCGGGACCAACAGTTCAATAAATTCCTCATCGGCATCATCAAGGTAGTTCACAGAGCTCAACGGGGAGTCAACAGTGGCCGGAATGACTGAGACTCCACTACCAACACTGCAATGGAGTTCAAACCGGCCGTCGCTTTGACGGCGGTGGAGAGATCCGGTGTATTGATAGAACTTGACGAGGGCGGTGGAGAGAGCGGCGGTGATGACATCAAAGGGGTCGGCATTTTGATGGTCGGCGGCGGCGTAGGCTCGGACGTAACGGAATGGAACGTTCATGTTGCGATCGGTGTCGAGGTGGGAGAGAGGGAGGATGTGGTCAACGGTGAAGGGTTGGTGTTGAGGGTAGACGATGGTGGCGATTGAGACTTTGACATCCATGATCACGGTGGTTGGTGGTGGTTAGCAAAAGCAACAGTAACTCCGATGATGATGTCTACTCATTTTCTTGAACTCGGTTTGGAAGACTTTATAGCATTGTAATAGTGGTTGGGTACTTGGGTGTTACAATGGACGTGGAGATTTAGGCATCGTTGATTGTTCCTCGACAATGGTATGTTTGTTTTGTTTTTATTAATAAAATAAATATTTAATCGATTTCTCTAATGGCAAATAATGGAGGTATTGAATCTTTTAATTATAATTTTTTATTAAAACTTGTATATCTAAAATTGGTGGTTAATTGGTTGCATTAGTGTTAAATACTTGAATGAATCCAGTTAAGTTTTCGTAAAAGTTATTGATGAACACAATGTTAAATTACATAGTCTCCAATACGTTATAAGTTAATGGTATTATATAAATACACTATCTTTCTTTCTTTCTTTTTTTTTTTTTTTTTTTTTTTTTTTTTTTTTTTTTTTTAAATGAAAACCAAGCAAACAAACATGTCATGCATTTTGGAAGTTAGGGGTGGATCATGATTCGTTCCTACGGAAGAGGGGCAGATCATGCCTATTGTCATCTTGTATCAGGATTTTTCTTTATTTGTTTTTTTATATGATTAATAAACTCAAATTAAGCGTATATTAATGAAAATGATCAATGATTTAATAAAAATGATCAACTTTTTTGTTTGGGAAAATTGCATATTTGTCCGGAAATTTCAAACTAACTTTATGTCACACTAAAAGTATTTTTCTAGCAAAAAAAAAAAAAAAACACACACACATACATATCAATCTCGATTTCAGACCAAAAAAAATATAAAAAAAATTGTTCGGAAATCTCAAAAACAAGTCTGAAATCTAACAAAAAGTTAAATCTTAACAAATGAGAAATAGACATGATATGAAAGCTTAAAATATGACATCTTATTGAAAAAATGTGATATTAACAACGCAGAATGACAATTTCGGATATGATTAAAGAGAGTTTGTTTGGTACCAATGATAAAAAATACATATTATATATTTTAATCAATCCAAAATAACAAACAAAAATATCACTTTTTTCAAAACCCAAAAAACTATGCTTTTGACTTTCATTGAAAACTAGGGAAGAATCCCTGCTTTGTGGGATTGGATACGCCAAAGAAATGGACAAAACAACAAGATTTTACATTGAATTAATTACATTAAACCTGTTTTCTAGTCCCATATTAGAAGCATATTTTTTCTTTATGTTAAAAAAAAAAAAAAAAAAAAAAAACTTTTGGAACATTTTCCCCAATTGCCATTTTTTTTTTAAATGGAAGGTAGACCATATTGCCTCTTATTCTTATTATTACTCAAAAATTTCAAAACATCATACCAAGAGTCATAAACATTCAAATGAACACTGCTGCATTTATCCAGAAAAAGTCCATAATGCCATCCAAAATTATAATTTTCCCATGTCTTTAAACCATCAAACTTTAGAAAAAGACCGAAATACCTGTTAAAAATTTTATTGGACAAATATGAATAAAAAATTCAACAGAAAAACAAGTAGCTTTATGACTAGGCAACTAAAGAAACACTAATCTGTCTTAGAGTCTGAATCTTCATCATAAGTAAAATGTTCACCATGTTTGGATTCTTCATCATCCTAAACAATAATTTATATTTTTAATGTGATACAAACCAAAAAAGCAGCAACACACATAAGTAGAAAATATCATAATCAGAAGTTGAAAATTTCGGTTGTGGTTGGGCTAATTGGATCCGAGTATAATGATGTTAAAGGCGTGAAAGTACATTGCTATTTACTGCATTTACCACATAAACATGGAAAATGCACCGAATGACAATGACTTTGGTTTTTGGTAAAAAAATAAAACAAATTGCAAAAAACAAAAAAACAAATAGCAATGTATTTTGTTTTTTGATAAAAAAAACGAAACGAAATTTCAATCTTCTGGATCATTGTTATATAACATTTGAATTAAACGTGCTCTTTCTTAAACTCATCCTCATCTATCTGCACAACCTAGAAATAATTTTTTTTTTTTTAAATATATACCTTTATAAAATGGCATGAAAGAAAGCAGGAGTATCAAAAACTGATAACCATAACATATAATCAATACAGTGATACACATCAGATTATCTTTGAATTGCTAGGAAATATTCCTACATAACATACTGCATTTTTCTGGTTCATAGAAATCAAGATTCAATTTCTATTCCCAGTATCTATCTAGTATCCATGTAAGTACTACAAAATTCTCAACCCATAGCCCTTACCCCCATTGTTTCCTACATCATTTACAGATGGATCTATA